GTAGTGGTAGTGGGAGTAGTGGGAGTAGTGGTAGTAGTGGTAGTAGTGGTAGTAGTAGTAGTAGTAGTAGTAGTAGTAGTAGTAGTAGCGGTTATTATTATTATTATCAGTATTAGTAGTAGTAGTAGTAGTAGTAGTAGTAGCAGCAGTAGCAGTAGCAGTAGCAGTAGCAGTAGCAGTAGCAGTAGCAGTAGCAGTAGCATTAGCAGCAGCAGTAGCAGCAGGGGTGGGGGCAGGAGGAGTGGTAGTAGTACTGGTAGTCAGTGGTCATCGTCTTCGTCGTCGTCGACAGTACGTAGATAGTAGATATGGTAAAATGTGATGTAGTTGATGTAGCAGCAGCAGCAGCAGCAGCAGCAGCAGCAGGAGCAGCAGTAGTAGTAGTAGAAGTACTAGTACTAGTACTAGTACTAGTACTAGTATTAGTACTAGTACTAGTACTAGTAGTAGAAAAAGTACTACTACTGGTACTGGTAGTAGTACTAGTACTAGTACTAGCAGTAGCTAGCAGTTCGGAGTTAGCAGTAGCAGCTGTAGTAGTCGTCGTCATCGTCGTAGTAGTAGTAGTAGTAGTAGTAGCAGTAGTAGTAGTAGTAGTAGTAGTAGTAGTTGTTGTTGTACGTAACAAACATCGCACGGTGTTAGCAACGGCGAGCAGAAGTTGTCAAGTTCGCAGTATAATCACCCGGATGATGTCCGGACCGCTGAGGAGGATGAGCTGATCACGTCTCCAATTGGCCATGGAAATCTCGGCTTCAATTTCAATTGTTTTCACATTTCAGCTATGATTCACATTTCAGCTATGATTTGACGTCTTGCGGTGTCGGTGTCCATGTTGAACACGGCTCCGTCCTGGTACAGCTGCACCGCTCCCCCTCCTCTCCAAGCTGGGATTTCTTCACATACTAGACGCAATACAACGGTCCTCACAAACATCGCGTCTGTTTCGGCAAAGTGGCATTGTGCAGCCCAGGAAAGGCTTTGTGGACGCCAGCACAGGATTCCTGCATCTTGGAACAAGCCCGGCTGGTTCCGATCTGTTCAAGTTCCCATAACCGGCTACCCTAAACATGCCCAATGTGTAGTTTGTACCGATGGCAGTCCTCAACTAGTTATAGCAGTACCAAGAGGACTTCTGTCAGGACACGCGATACGTTTTAGCAGGTTTTGCGATATTGCGGGTTTCTTTCTGATACAGTCCTGTTGTCGAGGCATTTCCTCGCAATCGTCTCCTTCCACACGTGCCTCCTCTTTGCTGCTCTCGCCAGCCTCGCAGCAGCGCAGTGCCGGCAAGGCTCACCCTTCGAGTCGCCTTTGTTGAGAATTTGGGCTTCAGCTGTGTTTTTTATACGGCGTATGATTCTGCGGTAATTACACTGTCTTCTAGAACGACGCCTTGCAGGGGTGTTTTCGAAAGTTACGCTTTTCCGGTCGCTTCTGAAATGAGCAGCCGTAGATTGGCAAAAACAGTGCCCCACCAATTCAGGGGTTGCTCGGGAATCTCGCCAGATGATGGAGCCTCACAGTGGAGTGGTCGTGTTGGACAGGAGAACCGTGCGCCGCGGATCTCTGGAACGCCAAGTCGTCTTCCGACAGTGCAGGACATCCCGGGGTTCAGGGTAATGGAGCAAGTGCAGCAGACCGGTCTGCTGTCCTCGCCTTCAGTGGTGCAGAGTTATGACTCTTGCTCTTTGTGAGGCTCCTTGGTCTACTCATTTGGGTCCCGAGAAGTGAGTTTTTAGTGGGAATAGATCCCAAATAGAACGGCTGGTGCGAGAGGCTCAGGCCGAGTCTTCACGGAGCACAAGACCATAGAGCGCAATATTAGTCATCGAGGTCTTGGCCTTAAGCCGTAGTGTTTGGGATTTAGGACAGATTTAGGGCTGAGGAGTTCGCAACAGCACGCAGACGAATGCTTGACAACTCACTAGGTGGAATGCTGCCGGCTGGGCAGGGCAGCAAGCATGGGCTGCCCAAGTTGAAGGAAACCCAAGAGCTCGGAACCCACGTGCCAACCTTGCAAGGAGAATGACGGGATGCCAGTTCCGGAGGAGGTGGGCCGATTGTTGAAGGTTCGTTTGTAGCTGCCGTGGCCAATCTGCGCAGCAGTTTTCCTCGTCAGAAGCATCGGATGGTGCTAGCTGCTAGCACAGTGCCTGCAGGTCGTAAGAATGTCTACTCCAGGTGTTTTAGGCTGAGGAAACTGTAACACCCGACACGTTCCACAAGTTCTTCACTGTCGAGCTAGCAAGGAATCTGAATGTAAAGCTGTTCTGGCGAGATGCGACAGTCATGTGTTACTGGGACGTTGATGGTACATTGGTTCGCAGGACGACAGTTACGGCACGGTTGCAAAAGTACTTATATATATATATATATGTACAATATACATAAGTGTCTATATACATGTCTATTTCTCTGTGTTCATATATATGTATATATATATAGATAGATATATGATGATATGTGTAGGTTTGCAGCATGATTGGAACTGCATTCGGTGGTGATTGTTGAAGTTCTTTGCGGTGATACCGTGCAGCACATGCATGTATGTATTTGTGTGTGCGTGCATGTTTGTCTGAGTGTTCTTGTCTTTAGTGTGTTTTTTATCCCTGCGTCTGTCAATCTGTATGTCTCTCTGTCTCTCTATGTCGCTCTCCACCGACCTGTACATCTATGTACCTATGTGCCTATCGATCTATGTATCTATCTACTTCTCCATCTATCTATCTATCTGTCTATCTGTCTGTCTGTCTGTCTGTCTGTCTGTCTGTCGATCTATCTACCTATCTACCTATCTATTTTCCACACATCTAATGTCTTCCTACCTGTTAATAGCGTCTGTATCTTGTAACTCTTATTATCTATAGTTATATATATATATATATATATACATAGAATATATATACAGACATACAATATGCACACACGTGTATACATATATACACAAATCAATATGAATGTACGTACTTATGTATGTATGTATACATGCATGCATACCTGCATGCATGCGTGTATGTACATTTTACGTACACAATGTACATTCTCCGTGGATGATACCTTCTGATGCAGTCTGCCGGCTTATGTACGTTTCATTGCTGCTGAAGGATATCTCTGATGTCTCTGGCGACTGTTTCAGGTGCCTTTGGTGGCCGCGCCGCTGTCGCCAGTCAGCAGGCATTTGCATTCAATCTGCTGTCGCCACGTGCGGTCCGAGTGACTGGGGTTTGTTTTCGAGGGGAATCGATGCTTAGAAAGGGTTCTAAGCTCTGCAAGTATAGCGCGAACACGGAAGTCGAAAGCAGGTGCTCGTAGCCGGGAGCAGCTAGGCATCGAAAAGTGTGGCCATTATGTTCAGGTTGGCAGTATGAGCCAACAACCACAAGATGCCAGAAATGCTCGTGCACAGCCTGCGTTGTAATCGTCGGAATCTCAATCCAGTTCAGTGCACCCGACTCCCTCATGGCTCCCCTATGCTTTAGCAGTGACTCTTGCCCTCTTAAGTGGTCAAACCACACCTCCTCCGGACTTGGAGCCCTGTAGAGACTCTAAGAGAGTCCAGAGCAAGGCCCTTCATCAAGACCTCATGCAGTCTGCGCTACCTTTCTTAACCCACAGCAAGGAGCCACGGCCAAGGGTGGGTCCCTCCTGCAAAGCATGGGTTTCCTCTTCCAACCCCGTGTGGTCATCTTGACAGACAGCCTAATGGTCTCGTCATTGGCCCTGGTGTGTAGCCCGATGACTGCCCACGCACTTTCGCACGCTGCTGCCATTGCAGTAGCATGAAAACAGCAACAATAGGCATAGAGACATGCAGAATAAAGCGAGCAGCGGTAATGACAGTCTTCTTACGACTGAGCATTGGTAAATATTAACAACAATATTAACAACAATCGCGGCAAGACTGGAAAGAAGACTGTTCGCTTTGACCAGAAGCACCCGGAGGCCCATACCAGGGCTAGACTTGGTGACTGCAGATCCGCCTGTCAAGTACCTCGGCCTGTCTTCAGGGCCTTTTGAGGAGTTTTAGGGTTTAGGGTTTAGGGCCTTGAGAGTTCAAGGTTGAAGTTTAGGGGCTTGAGAGTTTAGGGTTTAGGCTTCAGCGCAGGTGAGCTCGTCGGCATTGCTGACAGAGCCCTGCTTCATGCACCCTCTAGTCTTCGTTGGTCTTATCCCTGTTCATCAGCGGGCTTTCTTGCTTCTGTTTGTCTGACAGTTCGTACCTGGCATTCCCTTCAGTCGTATAACGAGTCGTGCCTGTCTTGCCATTGCTATTTCTAGCATTGCGGCTATTGTTGAGCGTAGTATACATCTTGGGGGGAGGCCTTCCGGCTTTGGAGTTTGCATGCTGCGGGTTTTAAGGTGGTGCAGCACAAGGTTAATCAGGTGTCATGGGCGGAGGGATTCACATCTTGCGTGAGTGCGAGCTGCGTTGAGACGGCTTTTTCCTGTCCTGCACCTGGCCTCAGGCCTTGCAGATCCACAATCGACCCCACGAGAAGCCACCCCCCCTCTGAACAAACCTATAGCCTATAACTATATGGCAGTCCAGCATGGCTCCGGTAATCAAGGTTCTCCAGAATCGGGGATGGTGGCCGCAACCAGCAGTCGACCGATTTTCCAAAACATCCCGAGGCCTACCTCCAACTCCTACACCTCAAATGCAGGGCAGTCACTCCCCAAAAGCTGACACCGAAGCCCTCCATACCAGGAACACCTTCATCCATATCGAATCTCCCAACAAGACGAGGGCGTTGAGGCATGAACTCTGCATGCACATCTTCTGACGCTTTCCCCAAATATCTATTTATTGGGGTCCAGAGTTTCTGGCATTAAGAATATGCGAAAGTCTTGCTTGCCAGCTATGAGCACCCGCTATTGCACATCGTCATCGTTATACGCGGCGAAGTTCCCTTGGGGAGCTCGCACCTCCTGAGCCCACATGTTTGGCTGCTTTGTAGTTGGGACTCTTGGCCGTCTCTCCGTATTGATGGCACGAGAAGTAGCACCAATGGCATTTGTTCCTTGATCGTGTTTGCCGTTACTATTACTTGCACCCGGTAACGGACTGCTGTCAGCGCTCTTCATCCTCGGCTCGGCCGTATTGTTGCCACCGTTGCTTGCAATGCGACTGGCTCCGATGTGGCTGATCGCTTTTCGTATCTGTCACGACCGTGCGACCTGATACCGTAGTGTTCTCCTGGGTTCTCAAAGACATCTCCGAGAACACATCCTTACAAGTCTCTTTGCCAAGCAGTGGCCGTAAGATTAGAGGAGACTATAGGGAACCTGAACTCGTAAATGATTTGTGCGGACCGGAAACAATGACGCAGCCAACGATGCCTCGAACGGGGGCCAGGGGCTGCAGCATTTTGGTGTGCACGAACCGGTTATGCTTGACTGCTGGGGATCGGGTATGTCGGGGGCACGTACCAGACGAGAAGGCAACAGGCCCATTACTTGTCCTATTGACCTCAGGACATATTCGTAGACTATGTTGCAGAACCCCCTTTCAAGCAGCAGGTTTCTACAGGCACCGAAGTCAACCTCTGGCAACACCGGCTACACCTGGAAGCATGCCATGCCGCTGTCCCCGACTGTAACGTTCCTCGTTTGGGTCTTTGGCTCGTGTGCAGGTTCCCCTCAAGGCAGCAGACACGTCTAGCACGATAGGACCCTTTGACAAAGACCCCGGGGTAGCACAGCCCCCCTAAAGCAAATTCCATAAGCAAAACCTCAAAGCCCAATTCCCCAACTCCCGCCCCCTCCCTCCTGCCCCGCATCTTGGCCTTTTCGGCATGTTGCAGATCCCCGCCGAAAACGGAGCCGCCATCCTTCGCGCCCGAGTCGGGGGAGACCCAAGGACACTTCCAAGGCAGGCAGCCATCCTGGCTCCCAAGTCGTATAGTAGGTAGCCTTTATATAACCTTTCGGGGTACTATAATCCCTACATTAATTATCCCGTTATACTCCCAAAGGTTAACCCTTAATTCCCCAGGATACTGGACAAGTAGGTGACCATACAAATGCACATGGGTAGAGGGCATGGGCCACGGGCAGGGTCCCTAATGTCGAGGCTCACTTGAAGTTTGTACTCTAGACATGCTGCAGATACTCAGATCATTCTAAGCAGCCGCAGAGGTAGTTCATGCTTTTGTCAAGCCTGTGTACTCGTGCTGCTTGTCATCTTGTTTATAGTATAATAGTCTGATAGTATTATAGTCACAATAGAAACTATAGTGTTATAGTCTAATAGTCTTAGTGTTTAGAGAATTATATGCCTCTCTACCGTGCTCCTCGGATCTGAGCCATCGCATCGCCAGGCTTGTGCTTCGGCCTCGTCGTACAAAGATAAAAAGGTCATACAGCCAGCGGTGTAAGACGAAGAAAGGTATCCCTGTCTTGGACGGGCTACATGGCGATGTCTTCAGTTAAGGGTCACCTATTGAAACCCATCACCCTATTAGGATGCCATCCTCAGCAGTTGATGGTTGGGCGAGTGTTGGGTATGATTGTCTTATCTCTTTTCCTTGGGCTGGGCAGGTCGGAAGGCTGACTGAAGGTGGGTGCTATCTGACCACAACTTTCGTGTAGGATCCGAAGCCCCGAACCCAAACAGGAACTGCTTGTTTCAAAGATCCTGCAAGGCGTTCCTTTCCCACCCGCGGACCCGGCTTGCCTTTCCCTTGCCGGCTCCTTCGACGCCGTCGGCGACCAGGGATATGGATCCGTTTCCTGGTGGAGAGTTTGTGGTCTAGGTTGCGGGTTTGGCTGGAAGCTTCATTGCGAAAACTGCTGCAAGACTGGGTTGAGTGGACTTTGTCATTCCTTTCAAGCCGCATTGAATTCATTCAGTTCCAACAGGATAGCTGCGGGCTTTCGGCTGCAGAGAGGAGATAGGGTAGGTCTTGGTCGTGTGGGGTTTGAACCGTTTTTGATCGGTGTTCAGCTTTTTTTGGCTTTGATTATATTCAGGAGCCGCTGCTTATTAAGTGTTCGAGCAAGGAGGAACCGGTTGCTCGTCCAGCAGCATCTGTTTATTCGGACATGGCTGCAGGGTCTAGGGGCAGCTTGTAAACAGACCCTTCCCATAGGCCCCATAGTAGTTCCTTTTTGGGATTAACTTATAGGATTCTAAATATGAACTCCCAAAAGGAACTACTCTGGGGCCTATGGGTCAGCATAATCCCAACACTCCAAAACTACGCCTTGGCATTTTCTGAGCCCCAGGCCTTGTAAAGTCCATGGTTTGCGGAGCTCAGGAGCGAGGACTCACCGTCCGGATTTCCGATTACCTGCCAGAGCTACCGGATGGTCCAAGGCAGAGCAAGGCCCGACTGTCTTCGTTGTGTTTTTATACGCACCATTCCATTTTTCCTAGATTGCTATCTTCGCCCGTGCCTAGCAGTAGCAGCTCACTGCCCCGAGATTCGGGGACCGCTATGTCAGACATGCCACGTGACACGCTTGACCATTTGTGACCTTCATAACGCTATGCATGTTCAAGTGGTAGGGCCATCTTGTCCCACTTGAAAAAGTGGACAGCGCTACGACTTCGAAAAGGGGGTTGGGGGACGCTTGGGTCACTTAGGGTTTCGGGGCTAAAAGTTAGAACTGCGAGAGGAACTGGGAAAGGGAAGGAAACACCGAGCGGATGGCGAAGGGACAAGGGGTACAAGTGGATCACGTCTGGTAAAACGCGCTGGCAGTATTTGGGGAATTTTGGGGAGGTTCACATGGACCAATTGGGCCAGTGGTAGAAATCTGAAAGCGGTTTCGAATTCCCGCGCACTGTAGCAGTAGCAGTTACAGTCGCAGACGCACGGAAGCAGTAGCAGCAAGAGGAGGTGGGCGGAGTAGTAGGAGTAGCAGCAGCAGCAGCGGTAGGAGTAGGAGTAGGGGCAGGGGCAGGGGCAGGAGCAGGAGCAGGAGCAGGAGCAGGAGCAGGAGCAGAAAGCAGCCAGCAAGAACAGGAGTAGAAAAGGCAGTAGCAGTGGCGGCAGCAGCGGCAGCAGCAGCAGTAGCAGCGGCAGTCGGAGTAGCAGTAGCAGTAGGAGTAGTACTAAGAGTGGTAGTTGCTTTTTTTTGTTGTCGTTCTTGTTCTTGTGTTCTGGTGGCGATGGCGGTCGTGGTAGTGGTAGTGGTAGTGCTGTTATATTGCAGCTTTGTTGCTCGTGTCACGATGATGCTCTTTGTTTGGGCGAGAGCCTTGGCAACCGCGCGCTTGCACCTGCTCTTGGAAGTTTTGCGAATCGCGGCGTGCCGCTTTTTACGGTGCTTAGACGAAAGGTCACATTGGTGGATCCAAAGCTTGGCCTAAGCACTAAGGCTACAGTCATGTGGGCCGTTCTTGCTCATGTTAAACATGGTACATGTGTTTCCCGCCGATGCCCCTTCAGCGTTTCCTGTTGCAGGGTGCGGAGGCCCCCACCTTCCCTGCATGTTTCAGTGCTCAGGGTTTGCCCCTGCGGATTGCGGACTACATGCCCGCCGCCTGCCACGAGCATGGCATTGGCTCTGACATGGAGGTCGGAAGTTTCCATTTCAAGCCAAACCCAGTGCACGACCTCGGGGCTTGGTGACAGAGCTTTCCCTGAGGCAGGCTTCCAAGTTTGAGGACGTTAAGACGTTGGGTTTCCCGTGGCCTTCGTGAGTCCAGGAATACAGCGAGGGCTGGGACATTTTCAGCGTTGTACGGTGGTGCGACAGCTTGTCATTTTGAGTGCAGCATCTGAGCGGCGTGTAGCTTGTAACCATGCATGCCACAATGTCCTACATGTTGTTTGATTCATTTCTGAAGGTCATTTCCTGAGGCCTGCGCACTGAAGAATCGCCAGGTGTGAGAGAACAGTTCCAGACCAGCCAGACAAGTCTTATTGAAACAACAAGTCATCGGCTGGTTGCAGGGCTTTTGAGCCCTGGGTGCAGTATAGAAAGCCTCGAACTTCTAGCCCGAGCACGATCATCCAAGCACAGTGTTGGTGTTTTAAGAACGGAGAAGAGCCGACATTCAAGCCGCCACGCCAAACTGCTGAAACCACTTCCGCGCCAGGGGATGCCAGGAATGGTCTACGGAGGCTTCGGTTCGGGCACAAAGAGGGACCAACCAGAGGTGTGGGCATTCGCAATTGAGCCTGCTGTTTGGCGACATTTCACATCGTGAGGAGGCGTTGGTGTCATGTCGTGAGTCGACAGGAATTCAGGTGGATTGTTCGAACTTCGGATTGTTTCTGCTGGTTCTGTTTTTCCTGAGTGATTGGGTAGGACGTTGCACAACTGACGGGCTGACTGTATAATAAGTCCTCGTCCTTGTCCCGAGACGGGGTCGGGTTTAGGATGCCGAGTTAAAGTACGGACGAGTGCCCAAACTGGAGCAGCACACGCCATCCTAGGTCCGTCTGGAACATGCAGCGCACACGTGCCCGATTCCGACTACTACCCGTCCTGGCATCTTGATTCTTGCTCTGTCCGTGTTTGTTCGTGGCTAGTTGTCAGGATGATGCGGCTGATGCTAGTTCGAAATGCTCCGATCCAGCAAGTTCCCTGCTCGAGCTAAGCATGCCTTGGCACCAGGCCAGGACATGTACTGCTACCAGACGCCTTCGTATCAAACGGAGGCGGGAGGGACACATCGAATTTCGGCTACTGCTCGGGAAGCTTTCAGCTAAAGTGTCGCATGGTTGCGACAGACTAGCGGCTGCAGAGGGAATTTGCTAAACAGAGGTTGAATCAGAGTAGATTCTCGGTGCTTTGAAACATGACACCTTGTGCCGCCCGATTTACTTCCAATCCCTATCCTTTCCATTGTCGTCTCCTACAATCGCCCATCCCAGACACCTAATTTCCACGGTGCTTCCTCAAACCTGATTCAACCAATTAACTTAACCCTAAGTGCTGAGGCCCCGCAACAGCTTCCCGCACAGATGCTCGCAGCGTTGCACTCGGCCCCAATGGAACCTCGGTAGCAGAAGAGTGGAAGTGTCTCTAGCGCGGCTCAGGGGAGTGTGCGTCGCGTGGTTCAGGTTATCCAATGGTTACCGACCTGTTGGCCGTAGGCACCAGATATGATGCTCATGTCCGCACAGTAATGGTTTGAACGGCCGTGGAGAACCATTCACTGGCTCCTGGCTCCCCTACTATGTTTGAGAACCGCATCCTGCCAGGCAACCGATATGTCGTATACACTTTGCCTCATCGCTGAACAGTAGGACCAGCACCACCACGGCCCACTGACTGCCTTAATGATATGCATCTCCTGTTGCTCCTGGCACTATACTGCTGCTTGACACCAGCGAAGTAACGCCAATAATAGGGCAGGAACCCTGGAGGAGCAGGTGGACCTGCAAGCCCATAGAAGCTGAAGCAAGAGCTGCAAAGGAGTCGTGGTACGAGCTTCACGAGTATGAATGTCAATAGCAACCGCCAAGGTTGGAAGGTTAACGAGAAGCGAAAGACAGAGAGAGCGCGAGCGAAAGTAGAGAGAGAGAGAGAGCTTGAGGCCTGAGAGTCGAAGTGTACTGTACGTGGTACTGATACATTTGGTACCACTGTTTCTTAGAAACGAGAATTCTCGTTGCTTCCTGGGAAGGCATCACCCTTGACTTTTCCTTTCATCGTGGTTTGAGGTTCTGTCCGTAAGCCGTAAGCCCTCAGCCGGCAACCCTTAAATTTTGTCGGAAGACCAGCCTGCGAGACAGGAGCAGTTCATGGCCCAGCTACAGGTTGATCCCATGCAGGTGCAGTGACTTGGCTGAACTCCACTAGCTGAAGATACATTTGCAAGTCGACGTTCAGGCATGTCAAAATCCACATAGCTGTTGAGTCTTCCTTCAGCCTTCGGACAGGATTAGTCTGGGGCTTCCGAGGGGCACCGCAACTCAGAGAGCAGAAGCTGCTGGTTTGGCAGGGTTCTCCAACCTACCCGGCACTGTTATGACCTTAGGTTAATCGCTTATTGGAGCGCAGGGATGCTTTGTGTTCTCTGCATTTGAGGCACTACGTCGCACAGATGCTGCAAATGCAAGGGCCAGCTCCACAATCGCTGCTTGACTGCTCTATTGAGTGTTCTGCGGCATGATCCACCGTGTCAGCAAATCGGTGCAACATATACGCTCTCCATGCTTTTTTCGCATGGATATGTATATGCAATGGCGGGATACTACCAGGTCACCAACATCATTCAAGAAGACGAAAATCTCTCGACCCAGGCACGGCGACACGATGACGGCGCAGCAGCATGACGACTGTGTGTGGCCGGGGTCCATGCATCCCGGTCCCGGCCCATCGATGGGGCCAATGGGCGGTGGCTTCTAAGCCCGAGAAAGCACCGGATGTCTGAGTCCCAGCCCATGCAAAACTAAGTAGAGTCTCAGTTTCGTCGTGGCACACCCTCCAGACGCAAGAGCTGTTCTCATGGGCTTGGGGCCATGGAAAGCCAAAAGAGGTTTTCAAAGCAAGACCCTGAGTTCTGGCCTGGCACAGAAGAACCTGTCCTGGTAACTTCAGCTAAACCTCTTCGCCCATCGGATTTGACATGCGCGACAATGTCTCAGGTCTCCGTGCCAGGGTGCAGGGTAGTAGGATATCACGTAATCGCGCTGAGCTGGCAGCTGGCTGGCCAAAGGTAGGCAGAGTGGCAAAATCATCCCGAGATGGCCCGAGCGTTCCAGGGTATGACAGGTGAATTGCTCATTGTTTGCTATAGAAGCCCACGGAAGGTATCATACTGCATTTCGTGTGCTTAGGTGCGGCTGTCATGTGGAACGGAGGCGTGTTGCCCCAGGCTTGGGTGCCACATACAACCTCCAAGGATCTTCTCAGCTACAGATGTGTCGGCTGCCTTCGTACCTGTAGGCAGCGTTTAACCTTCGAAGTCTGTAGCATATGAAGCCCAATCTCATCCAATGTCAGTTGTCGAATGCTACGACCTTGCTCCTACACCACGACGGCTACAGATGCGTCCCAGGTTGCATTTCAGACCAGAGTGCTGGATCCTTGGAGGTTTTAGGTAGATAGGTCGAGCGAACTGACTTGGATGCAAAGCATCCGCCGTGTTTCCGTAGGGCTTGCCAAACCCACAAGGATGGGGTTGTGGGTTTGGCGCTTTGATGAAGAGCAACATATAATGGCTGTCAGCGGTGAAGAGAGCTAGATGCTTCTGTCGTTAGGTGTAGGTCGCAGGCGCGGCAGCGCGAGGACCAGCCTGATTTCAATCGCGTGTGATTGCACATCGCAGGCTTCAGTCGGCGGTAAATTGGGAATTTGGCACGGTTCAGATGCGAACTGCCAGATGCAAGTTGTGACAGAGACGTGCTACCGTTTCCTGGGCGGCACCTTGGGAACAGAAGCATGCAAGCCTGTCTCGCGTGCATCAGCTGTGTCTGAGATGCTGTACCGGCCTGACCACTCGTTACTATAGAATACTATAGACAAAGGCCCTTCTCGATACCCAAATACCTGCAAGGGGCTTTTGATCTGATTCTTGACGAAAGGAGTATAGATGTGTGGAGCGTAGAGTGTAGATCCCCGAAAGAACGTTCCAGGGTGTGCTTCAGCAGTAGCTGTGCAGTGTAGTGCAGTTTCGTCGTTAACCACCCGGATGAGTGTGGTAATGTGACTCGCCCCGGTTTGCATGTGGGATTCCGCTGCCCGCATATCTTGTCAAATTGGAGTTCTGAAGGTACTCGGGTTATGTCATTACATCTAGGCCTCGTCACGGTGGGTGTAAGCGCAGCTGTCAAGCTAAAGACTCGAAGTGATGATCAGGAAAGCCGGTAGATTTCAGCAGGGGGACAGGAGCTGGTTTGCTTATCCTGTCCAACGAAGCTAAGGCAAATCAGTGGAAGCAGGACGCTCAAGTGCGTACCTGCTTGTACATACTGCAAGCAAGTGAGTGAGCATCTGCCCCNNCCCCCCCCCCCCCCCCCCGTAAACACAGTACATTGGTTGCTCTGGATCCCAGGTGCCTGCTAGGTAGGAGGCAGTTTGCCAGTACATGCTGCCAGTCAAGCACCGATGTGATGTAGAATGCAAGACTGATCTAACTCGCATCAATGTGGAGAGGTCTTCCGTGCACCAGCGCAAACGCTTCGTCGGAAGTTTTTAATAGCTCAAACCAGGGTAGTGCAGGGCATGTGACGTCGGAGACACAATCGACAGGGGGTCTTTTCTGTTACTTCCAGGGGCCACTAGTCAAAACGAGCAAGATTTCTGACTTCTAGAGTCAACGATTTGAAGACCGCCTCGAGCAAGTCAGCCTCCCGAAAGTTCTCAGACCCGCAAGCTGGGTGGTCTAGCCCCCAGGCATTCTGCACATTCTTAGAACACCTGCCCGAAAGATTTGCATCCGCATGATATTGCTTCGGAAACTAGGGCATGTGAAGAGAAGTGGTGTAGCCCTGCGAAGCTTTGCAGCACGAACGGTGCCATATGACTCCCATGGACGACATGGATGACGCCGCAGACCCGGTCTCCTCATTCTACTTCTACAGCTTTACAGACCGAAGCACTTAACCCAGCAGGACTTCAGGTGTCTGAAGAACAAGAACGAGAGCTTAGTTATACAATTATTCGTTGCCGTATCTAGAATCTAGAGTGTATATATATATATATACATATGTATATATATATATATGTCACCAAAACCCTTTTCGACTTTCACTTGCCCAACTAAACAAGCTGATGTGTAAAGCCTACGCTCGAAGCGCGAGCCTTCACCCAACTTAAACATTAGGTTCCTTGTATTTCAAGCGCGGAAACGGCACAGACGGAACCCCCAAACCCTGAAATCCCCAAGCCCTTGTACCCCATTACAACAGTTAGTTGTTTCCTATTTTTTGCGGTTATTGTCAACACCATTCTTGCTACTATTATTGTGCATCCTACACCCTGCCTGCTCTTGCATTGAGCTCATCCGAGGCATGCTTGCCGAGCTCATTGGTCGGCCACCCAGGGGGGCTCCCGATCTAACGGCGGAGGCTTGCCTTGAGGTTGAGGGCTTGATTACGCAGCTTCGGACATATCATCTCCGTAAACGACGGATTTGGGCGGGTAGAGTTTACATCACAGGGGGGTTTGTTGAGACTGCAGAGTGCTCGGCATAGCGCAATTCTAAGGCTAGTGGGTAGATTGCATTCGCTTCCGGCAGTATGAGGTTCCGGAACTAGGTTTAGGATGTTTTGTTTTACGAGGTTTCACAGGAACAACCTCAGGTTTGTGCAGCAAGCAAATTGTTTTCGTGGACGGGCTCGAAAAGAGGCCGTGAGGTCACTCGAAGTTGAATCGAAGCCCCGAAACCCCGACAGTAGTGAGGAATCGTACTTTGAGGAGGGTCATAGGCGAAATCTGCCAAATGTTGGAAATATTCCAGGCTTTCCCATCGGACTTCACAATGAACCCAAAAGTCAGCGGCCGCTGACTTTGCAGTCCATTTCGGTGTCCTGGAGGTACAATCTTCCCACATAGGTTTAGGATCTACCAAGGGACCCAAGCTTCAACGCTCCGTGTGAAGCATAGCAGCTCTGTAGAAGCCGCAAAGCTCCAAGCAAAGGCGAAACTCTTATGGATGAACCTGGACAGGCGGACCGATCGCGTCCGGACCTTGGCCCTTGATATTCTTATAGGGATCCAGCCGCAGAATGAGGGTAAAGGGTGCAATTTTGCAGCCCCCCACGGCCTTCATCAAAGAAGCTCAAGAAAGAGTGTAGGCCAAGTGGCCCGAAATCCCGATGCGACGCAAAGTCAAGTTAAGTGGACAGGGAAGGAGAGCCCCTGGAACATTCGGAAGCTAGAACTGGGATGTGGAGACTTTCAGCTGTCACGAGGCCGAGGCCCAGCAACGGTCGCTAGAGGCTGCTGGCATCGAGGCCGCGGGGGCGTTTTCATGGGCTAGGGGGTGAAGGTTGGGCAGCTTCAACAGCAGCAGGCCTGGATGCGAAATGGTTTAGAGAGCTGGGTTTACATAGCTGCCCCACGATTGGGATGTCATTGAATAATGTACCCGGTGAAGAGCAGGGACGAGGATCTCGGAGCTCGTATTTCTGCAGCTATGCGGGGCGTTGCTCGCACGGCACAGAAGCTACACTGTTTAGATTTCTCCGCGTTGAAGCGACTTGACTTTGTTAAACGTCAAGTCATGTAACACCCAAGCGTCCTGAGACTCTGAACTCTTTAAGTCCTTAAGTTTGAAGCCTAGCCAAAGCTGGCGAAAGCCCGAGAGCTCCCAGCAATCCCAAGCGCTGACCAATCCGAAACATTCACCTCCTGTCTAAACCAGCATGAACCACAGAAAGTCTTCGTTTCGAAGGACAACTTTACTCTTGTGGGACACTTTTCACATTCAGCGTGAGGTCAGTTGGATGATATTAGTTCGTTTAGCTCATACAGTTCTTTCATGACTGAGGGGACATAGAACAGTCCAAGATTCACATCCGGAGGATTTCGCTGAGCGCGTCCCCGCCGTGGATGGCAGCACGTTGGATTGGCGCTCCGTTCCCGAGGAGCACGGATTGGGGCTGACGGGTGTGCAATGTTTGTGTCCATAGTTTGTGTGGAAGTGTCAGAAGAGAACATATTCGAAGGATTCCGAAGGTATGTGTGTAGTTCTCTAAATTAGGGTCCTTTTTTTGGTTCCCATTTAAGGCGGCACCCTTATATTAAGAACCCTAAAAAGGACCCTAATTTAGAAAACTACCCATGTAACATGTGTCTGGTGTTTGTTCGGCATTCCACGAGGTAGCCTAGCGGCTGCCAAGTTGTCCGTCGTCTCTCGGAGCTGCTTCACGTTGTTGCGGATTTCGTCCTGATCTGCACGTGCAAAAAGTGTGACACAGTGTGATGGTGAGCAGTGGCGAGGGTCTGTAGGAGCAGTGTGGTATGAAATCAGGCTAGCATGTTGAGGCACAGTGAAGAAGTAGAATGCCTTTGACATGGACACCAATCGCAGGATATCTTGACACGTGCTGGTCGAGTTCAGGCCGCCGAAAATTTCCAGCAGTGAAGACGTCAGCAAGAAATAGCAAGGGCATTGAAAGCGCATCCTTTCGAGGTTCAGCTCTAATTTCCCTGAATGCTTGGCCGTAGCAGGCGTGTCATTCCCTGACTCAGTCCAAGCTTATGTCTAGGGATCTGGACCAGGATTTTTAGGGTTTTTGATGCGAAGCCCCTGAAAAGTCCATGTTGGAGCCCGGTCGCAGGGATTTACCTATAGTCTCCATTGTAGTTCCTTTTTTGGGTTGCCTTTTAGGATCCTTGATAAATTGGTTAAACCAAAAAAAGGAACTACAATGGAGACTATAGGTAGGTTTCAGGAGTTACAGCTCCACGATGCTAGTCCCGGTGAAGCGTCAGAAGTTGCAGGCGATGAACCCGCCGGACTTCGTCCTGGGAAGAGTTCTGCCGCAGGGCTGAATTCCACTCTAGACTTCCGTTTTTTCATTAGTCGGACTTTCGGCTGCTGATCCAAGAGTATTAAGAGTCACCTTTCGCTGAACCAATGCGAAGCACAGTGTGATGTTTTCATTGGTCATGTCAGATGCACTGTGTTAGTTTTTCGGTCGAGGTGGCAGTGGTGGTCGGCACCACCCGACACCACCACCACTGCCAAAGCCCTGATCACTGATGCCAGCTCCGCTTTCTTCTCCCCCCAACTGGTACTGTAGGGGCCTAAATAATTACCAATACCATTTCGGGGCGCTCCTTATTATCAATTATAGTAGAACGGGCCCCAAAACCCTAACCCTATTCTAATGATCTTATTCTTTATGGTAGAACGGGCCCCAAGACCCTATTCTAACTATCAAGGCCCCTATAAAACCCTAAACCCTTAGAGTAGCCCTGATGGAACCCTTTAAAGGAACCCTATGAAACCCCATTCTAACTATCAAGGCCCCTGTAGTAGTCGTCCCAAACCCTAAACCCTAAACCCTAAACCCTAAACCCTGTAGCAGTCGTCGTGGTGGTTGGGGTCCTGGCGTGTCGCCACTGAGCAGCCCAGGACCCCTGGAGCCGGGGCCTTGATTCGATGGGCACATGGATCTCAAAACTGACAAGAACAAGTAGGATTTAGGGTTTAGGGTTTAGGGTTTAGGGTTTAGGGCTTAGGGTTAGGGTTTATAGGGTTTAGGGTTTAGGGTCTAGGTCGTTACGAGATGTTGGTTGCCCCAGAAGTTATAAGCGTACGTACAATGCCTAGAATCTAGCGGCGCAGCATTCAGAACGATCGCTGAACTCTGTCAACTTGTGGCACTTGCTGCTTCGTCTGTGGACGGGGCGAAAACTATGCGATAATTGCAGGGCTCCGGATTGCGGAAGAGTTGACGGCTGTTTTGCTCAGGGCGACTTCCGCCCACCGTTTATTGTTTTCCCAAACTCCAATCTCACGTTCTTCAAAGCTCCCTCCCGGACCCGCCTGAGCTCCAAACGATGGCAAACCGCGCTTCGACGGTTCACGCATCATGTCTGAACCCCGTGCGTTCTGCAGACTTTCACAAGGCGGTGGGCCTTTGGTTGACATGGTATGAGGCCCGGCTTTGGAATGCGACCTAAGGGTTTCGGACCGGGTGTTTACAGCAAAACTGATCCTTGGGGACCGTAGCCGTGGGCACAGGGAACCGAACGCCCCAACAATGAATTCCAGCCCGTGTATCGGATACTGTCTGAGGTCGCAGGCAATCGAAGATAGTCGTAAAGGGACCGACCAACGATGCCATCCAAAGTGCGAGGTCTCTGTTAAGCAAAGACATAATTCTTTGAGATCCTGGCCAAGGTGCCCTTAGGCCCGGATTTGCAAGCACAGAAATCATGGCCGTTCACACCAGAGATTGGCCTTCACCTCCTTCTGTCAAGTCCTAAAGATTCCCAAAGCCTATATTATATGAAATATTAGATAGGTCAACATTATCGTATATTGATGTTAAAGCAGGTGGTTGTCGAAGATGGCAGATGCTAGGTTAGACTTGTAAAATGATAGGGGACGCCCGAAAGACGATACCCTAAATACGGTAATGTTGCCATTGTAACTGTTTGTTCCGGGATGCTTGCGAGCATTGAATACTCATCCTATAAATTAAACCCCAAAACGGTAAGCTCAGTAAAGCCAAACCCTCGCTTGGGCATGGCAGGTCTTGTGCCGCATCATCCACGAAGCTGCGGGCCACGAGTGCTACCTGGTTGCCCGGACCTCGGATCCCGGATCGGTTTCGAGGTGAGTGCGGCTCAGGGTATCGAACTGTGCCCTTTCGTTCCCTGGCCCTTGAAGGGATGGGAGCCTTCGAAGCCAGCAGCCAACCGGCAACCCGGAGTCTTGAACGAACCTCCAGAGACTCCAATATCCCTTAATTAAGGAATATTTGCTAAATCATATTAAGGATCCTACTATGATTTAAGG